TCACTCAGTGACATCTTCAGCCCTGTCTCCAGTGTCTGGGCTTCCTCTGCAACTTATGGGGAGAGTGAAAAATCTAACAATTACTTAAGAAGTGATTAAATGCTGTTAGAAGATGGAAGAAGTAGCAAGTGTCAAGAATGTGGGAAGTGAAGTCGTTTTTTGCAAAGATGTTTGCAAACAAAGATGTTTGCAAACAAAGATGTTTGCAAAGATTTCCCTGCTGCTAAGTAAAACAGGGCCAGGAACACTTCTCTGGCCCTGAGGCTAAGTGGTGTTTGTCACTAGGACTTTGGGTCCCAAGTGGTGCCTCTGTGGTTCAAAAAAATTATTATTTCCTGCGGATTTTAGTCCTGAGTATCAGAGATAATACAAGGAATGCATTGTAAATTGTTCCAGTGATAATTTCATCGTATGAAACCCCAGGAGGGTGTGGACTGAGAGCCTGGAAGGGTTCCTGGGACTGCAAAAGCTTCTGGGAAAGCATTGGAGGACTGCAGTAATGCAGGACCGAGGGAGCCAAACCAGGTGCCATCTAGTGCAGACTGCACCTTGCGAGTGATGCCTGGTGTGCGTGGCACCCTCGGGTGCTGTCTCAGAGAGATCACAGGCAGAGCTGTGCCTGGGAGCATGCTAGCAGCAAATGGAGAGCCTGAGCTCATGCTCCCTCCTTGCACTATGCAGCTGCAGTGTTTGCTGCCATTAGCATCTACCTCCAGTGGAGAGGATGTGCCTTTACACACCTTTTCACGCACAGGTGACCAGGCTGTTGGAGGAAATAGGATGTGAGTATGGTACCCTAGAAACAGATTGTTTCTTAACCAGTAAGGCACAGAGCCCTAGCCTTGCCTGAAGTGGCTTAACTGACTGAAACCAACTCAGTGTTCACTGGATTAACCTTTCCTGCATCTTAAATAAGCAACAAAGTCAATCTTAATCTAGTCATAAAGACCTTGCTTATAAGGTGGATAAAACTGATGACAAAAACTTAGGAAAAAAAAAAAAAATAATAATAATAATAGGATGGAATGAAATGGGATCTGTTTAAATTACAAGGTTTTGTTTCTGGGAAGTAAAAGCTCCAAGGTGCATTTGAGATGATTCAAGATCCTATGAAATAAAAGGAAGGAGACATCAAACGACAGAGACAGAATTAACCCAGGAAAAAGGAGGTTGAAACAATCCACAGAGGAAAATACAGAACATTGTCACAAGTTCAGAAGTAGCAAATTTTCCACTGGGAAGTAAATCAGCTTTAAACTGATGTTAAATTATCTAAACTGTCTAGCTTTCTGCAAAATTTGTCTTATAGTTTTGATCTGTGTGCAAAGCCTCAGAGAATTGCAAGATATGACAAGCAAACTAAATTGCACGTCCTAATTTCTGCAAATAAGGCAATTTACTTTTTTATTACAAAAATTATTGGGAGTTAAAACAAACTGAATGCATACTGAAATGTTACAAACTTTCCCTTACAACTAATGATTGTTTTGGTTTTAATTGACACTGTCTTGTTAGGTTTTATTTATCCCCAACAGCAAATTATAGCAATAATTTAAAAGGAAAAAAATCTCAAACCAGAATGGATTCCAGTTAAATCAGTCAGTGTTGTTTGACACTAATATCTGTGTGTGTGTTGTTTGCTAACACTGCGCTACATTTCAGATTGCCTCAGTCCTGCAGAATTTAAACGATGGATGTGTTTATGGACATATTACACTGTGTAGAGCATGGAAGAACTTACACAAGTTCTTTCTATACTGCAAGAAAAAAAAAAAAGAAAAAGAAAAGAAAAAAAAAAGAAAAAGAAAAGAAAGAAGAAAAAAAAAAAAGAAAAAGAAAAGAAAGAAAGAAAAAAAACACACCAAAATACCCAGACATTTCTACATGTCCATAAATAGTGTTTGGTCCCTGATTCTTGACAAGGATACCTGTGTCTGGGGGGGAATTCATTTTTTTTAGGGACTGTGCTTCCTTCTTTTGCCATGGAATGGATACAGAAGAGGGTGGGACTCCCCAAAACTCTCTGGTACCATTACGCACCAGGAAGGGGACATCAGCTCTGCTCACTTGCAGGCAGGGCAGGGGAGGAGGTTGCTATTATTAAGAATACAAAGGATTTCTTGTCATGGTGACGACCTGCGTGAGCCACCTGTGACAGCACTGGGGGAGACTTTTCCAGGCTGAATGTATCTGGAAGACTGGAGGGCATGAAGGAAGAAGCCTTGTTTTGTCTGAGCAGCGATTGGAGCTGAGTATTAGAGCCCTCTAGTGAGATTTCTCGGAGTGGATCTTCCCCTCCGGCGCCGTGGCATTTGCCTCCCTCCAGGCATCGCCCCCCGCGGGGCCGAGACCCCACGCTCCCACGGACGGACACGGTCCCCCCGGGAGCGTGGGGGTCTCGGTGCCGCGGGGAGCGAAGGACTCACCGGCTGCCTGGGGAGGGAGGGCAAGAGAGGAGGGAGGGCAGCCTGTTCCTAAAAATACTCCCCGGTCAAAGCCCTGTGAGCCAAGGATGGAGATGGTAAGAAAAATGCCTTGAATCGGTAGGAACAGTGAACAATCTTCGTGCTTTCCTCATCATCTTGGAATAATCAGCGGAATTAACTGAGGTCGAGGAAACAGGCTCTTGGGTTAGTTGTGGGAGGCTGTGAGAATAGGGGGCAGCCATTAAAAGAAACCTGATCGCTATTCATCAACTCTGAAGAGGGGAAAGGAGGAGGAAAAAGGGAAAAAAAAAAAAAAAAAGAAAAAAAAAAGAAAAAGAACTTCGTGGCTCAAGCTCATACCAACCTGGTCTATCTCTGATCAAGAAGATCCCTGGAAACAAGAAGTTTACAAATATTGTCAAATTGATGCTTGTAGCGTGATTTAAGTTGTCAATCCGGCAGAAGCCCACCAGAAGTTTAGATTCAATGCCTTGCATTTCTGGCTAGTTATTGCCAATCCCCTAAGGCAGCAAGCTCGCTCTCTCCTTATTTTAACCATATGTGCCTTTTGTTGTTGTTGTTGTCTTGTCTGTAAGCTGTACGCTGGCTGCTGAGACAGTCCCCTTGTGCCGCGGAGCATCTGAGGCGGTCCCCGCAGCCGGCAGCAGTGCGGGGGCTGGGTGGGCACCGGCCCGGGACCCCCTCGCCCCTCTCCCGGGGCCACCCCCCAGCCCCCTGTCCCCTCCGCGGGATCCGAGACTGGTTGTGGGCCGTGGAAGTGGGGGGACACCCCGAATAACTAGGGATGGGAGGGTGCTGAGAGTCAGAGCGAGTGAAAACTCTGAATCCCGCGCCCGAGGTTGGGAAGGGATAATATAGAGGTAATCAGGACCGGCCGCATTAGGCGGTTGGGGGGCTATCGGGTTTCGTGGGGAGCGCGGGAGGTTACAGCGCCTTGAGCCGGGCACACAGTGCGCCCCCGGGGTCCCGTTTCACCGGGGGGCGGCCGAGACGGAGGGGAGGGCGAAAAGGTTGCCCGTGGCCGGCTCAGACAGTCACGTCTCACCGGGCCCCAAACTCCTCATTAATACACCTCTTTCGGA